TGGGCACTGTGGTGCTGAAGCTAACTTCTGGAAAGGAGTTGAAGCTTAAGGATGTTCTGCATGTCCCAGACATCCGCAAGAATTTGGTCTCCGGATCTCTTCTTGTTGAGCATGGATTTAGGCTGGTATTTGATGCTAAGAAGTTTGTTCTTAGCAAGTTTGGAACTTTCCTTGGTCGTGGCTATCTCGACAAGGGTATGTTCAAAATGAATGTAATGGTCGTGAGCCGTGTAACCGTTTTAAATGATAATGAAAAGTCTATTTCTGTTTATACCATTGAGTACTCTGATTTATGGCATATTAGATTGGGACATGTAAATCTAAATGCAATTAAACGGTTGATGAATTTAGAATTAATTCCTAATTCTAAAATTGAATCACATAAGAAATGTGAGATTTGTATTGAAGCAAAAATGGCTAAGTTTCCTTTTCACTCAGTGGAAAGGAGTACTGAACCATTAGGCTTAATCCATACTGATGTATGTGATATGAAAAGTGTGCAAACAAGAACGGGTAAAAAGTACTTTATTACTTTTATCGATGATTACACAAAGTTTTGCTACTTATATTTATTAAGAAGCAAAGACGAGGCTGTGGAAGCATTTAAAATCTATAAGACCGAAGTTGAAAATCAACTCAGCAAAAGGATTAAAATAATCCGAAGTGATAGGGGTGGGGAGTATGTATCTCCTTTTGAACAAATATGTTCTGAATATGGCATAATTCATCAAACGATGGCCCCTTATTCTCCACAGTCGAACGGTGTTGTTGAACGCAAGAACCGTACGTTAAAAGAAATGATAAATGCCATGTTGATATATTTAGGATTACCCCAAAACATGTGGTGGGAAGCTGTTTTAACAGCAAATCATATTCTGAATAAAATACCACCTAAAGAGAAAAATGAGACTCCTTACGAAATGTGGAAAAATCGTAAGCCGTCTTATAAATACCTGAAAGTGTGGGGGTGTTTGGCTAAGGTTTCAGTTCCTGAACCCAAACAAATGAGAATCGGGCCAAAGATGGTCGATTGTGTGTTTATTGGATATGCGTACAATAGTACAGCATATAGATTTCTAGTTCATAAATCAGAAAATCCAGAGGTATCTGTTGGTACCACGATTGAGTCGAGGAATGCTATATTCTTTAAGAATATATTTCCTCTAAAGGAAAGGGCAGAATCTAGTTCTAATAAACGAACATATGAAACTGCTAGTGGTTCTGTACCAGAGGGTACTGATGAAGAACCGAGATGTAGTAAAAGGGTAAAAACGGCGAAAACGTTTGGACCTGATTTTATTACGTACATGTTGGACGATGAACCGAGTTCCCTTAAGGAAGCTCTGTCCAGCCCAGATGGACCACTCTGGGAAGAAGCTATAAATAGCGAAATCGAGTCCATTATGCAAAATCATACTTGGGAGTTGGTTGATCTCCCTAAGGGTTGTAAACCTTTAGGATGCAAGTGGATCCTAAAGAAGAAATATAAAGTTGATGGATCGATTGATAAGTTTAAAGCACGATTGGTGGTCAAAGGCTTTAAACAAAAGAAAGGGTATGATTTCTTTGATACATATTCACCAGTTACGCGTTTAGCGTCGATAAGAGTGCTTCTCTCGATTGCTGCTTTGCACAATCTTGAGATTCACCAAATGGATGTCAAGACAACATTTTTGAATGGTGAATTGGAAGAAGAAATATACATGGAACAACCTGAAGGGTTTGTTGCACCTGGACAAGAGAGAAAGGTGTGTAGATTGATCAAATCTTTGTACGGACTGAAACAAGCTCCGAAACAATGGCATTTGAAATTTGATGACGTGATGTTATCAAATGAGTTCAAAATCAACGAATGTGACAAATGTGTTTATGTCAAGAGTACATCAAATGCATTTGTGATTGTATGTCTATATGTAGACAATATGTTGATCATGGGGAGTAGCCATGAAGTGATCATGGATACGAAAAAAATGTTGAAAAGAAATTTCGACATGAAAGATATGGGTTTGGCTGATGTTATTCTTGGAATAAAGATTATTAGAACCCAAGATGGAATTGTCTTGTCACAATCTCATTATGTAGAGAAAGTGCTCAAGAAATTTGATACCTATGACGGTGCACAGTCTAGGTGTAAGACGCCCCTTGATCTTAGTATAAATCTGGTGGCTAATAAAGGTCAACCAGTTGCTCAGTTGGAATATTCTCGGATAATAGGGAGTCTGATGTACCTGACAAATTGTACAAGACCAGACTTGGCCTATCCGGTGAATAAGTTGAGCAGATTTATGAGCAATCCCAGTCATGAACACTGGAATGCTTTGAGAAGGGTACTTAAGTACTTGAGGTACACCCTTGAATACGGGCTAAAATACTCGAGATACCCAACCGTACTTGAAGGGTACTGTGATGCAAGCTGGATATCAGATTCGAGAGATTCTCGCTCCACTAGCGGATATGTTTTCTGTATTGGAGGAGGTGCAGTTTCGTGAAAATCCACAAAACAAACGTGTATAGCTCGTTCAACTATGGAATCGGAGTTCATCGCTTTAGATAAAGCTGGTGAAGAAGCCGAGTGGCTTAGAAATTTTTTATCCGATATCCCATGTTGGGATAAGACTTTACAGCCTGTGATGATTCACTGTGATAGCCAAGCTGCTATAGGTAGGGCGCAAAGCAACTTGTATAACGGTAAGTCTAGACATATTCATCGTAGACATAATACCGTACGGCAATTGATCAAAAATGGTGTTATTTCCATTGACTATGTGAAGTCTAAGGAAAATTTGGCTGATCCTTTGACGAAAGGATTGAATAGAGATAAATTAAGAAATTTGCTAGAGGGAATGGGCTTAAAAATCCACAATGTAAAGAATGATCATAGTGGTAACCCTACCATGCTAAGTGGAGATCCCACGAACTTGGTTCAAAGGGAAAACTAAGCTATGAAAATTCAGTTGAGCACTTGGAACATATGAATGTCCAAAGCTATTTCCTTGAGCACTCCAAGTGCAAGATGACCTGTTGATTGTGGTGAGGGAAAGTCATGTGGACTTTTAATGAATCCCTAACCTTGTAAAGGTGAAGTCAGACAGGATACTCTTGATAGGGAGGTCACCTATATAAGTGTGAAGTGAGAGCCGCTTCAAATGTAAACACTTATGAATCCAAAGAGTTGTTTATGGCCAAAACGGACACAACGTTAGAACGGAATGGAGTTAAGACTCTATTGTGTGAATGTCATTGTCTAGGTGTACACTATGGAGGAATAGTTCAAGGCATTATGTCCACTAGACCGCCAGTGCATCCGATGATATTTACTACGAAAGGTTCAAAGCCAAAAACTACCTTTTCTGATGCAATAGAGTTTTGTGAGGATTGAGCACAATAGTATATATATTTAATTTACACTTTTGTGGGGGATTGTTGAGAAAAGTGTAAAGGGGCGGCAGGTGCGCCGCCCCACTTGTTAATTAAAAAAAAATGAAAGTGAGAGGAAATTGCAAAGGCGGTGCCACTTGCAGCCGCCTCATCTGCTCTTATTAAAAAAAATATATATTTTTTATTTGCAATTTGATGGCCAATTGGCCAACTTCTCACCCTATAAATAGGGGAGTTCGGGCGAGAGAAAAATGACACAAGAAAAGGAGAGAAAAAAGAGAAGAAAGAAAGGGAGAAAGAAAGGAAAGATAGAGAGAAAAATATTCAGTTCGAAAGAATATTTGAGGAATAAAAATAGAGGAAAAATTATCAGAGTGATATTTTTTATTCCTATTTTTAAGTGCTCAATTCTCGGCTCCATTCCAGTTCGTCGAAGCTCGTAAATCTGGTGTGCTACAGATTTAGAGACGTTTGCCGTTGCATCTTTGGGAAGTTACGCCTAAACCATTAGCAACACACGGGGTGTATTCTTCTTGCGAAAAAGAGTTTACTCACCTCGACTTTAATCTTTCCGTTTTGTTTTTAAGTTTTAATTTATTTTCAGTTGTAATATTTTTTTTCAATTCAATTGTAATTTTCTATTTTAAATTATTTATAAGAACTGAGAAATACATATTAGTTCGTATAATTCCCGTGTAATTTGACACCGGTTTGTAACATTAACTCCGACACAGGAGAATATTACTCAAATAATGGAGACCAACAAACAAACATAATTTAAACAAGCCTAACTCCGACACGGGAATATTGCTCAAACAATGGAGACCAAAAACATAAAACAAACGAACAAGAAGGCATATTACAGTGAAAAATAAACACAAACAAAAACACTAGAAAAAACACAATAACATAAAAGTATAATCTCCCCTCGTCAAACTTCAAATTTAAAGCCGACAAATTTGAAAACTCTATTTCACGTCATTTGACTACATAGATCTAAAGCAAGGAACCCAGATCTGACTTCATAAAAACCGTCAGCAGATTGAGGGAGATCCACATCTCTGAGTAGACGCACATTCAAGATGACTTTATGGGGACATTTATAAAGCCAACGTAAATTAAAAATCCATCACCTTGTCATAATCTTTCATAAATGGGCCAATGTCTACCACCTTGTCATAATCATTCATAAATGGACCAATATGAAGGGTTGATATTCAATTGCCTTAGTATTGAAAAGATTACTAAGAGCTTGTTTCAAAACACTTTTCAAATGAACTTTTGAATCCAAAATAGTCCATTTGTATAAATGATTCATGTTTGTTGATAAATTATAAATGGACTTGTAGATAAGTTAATTCTCCAAAAAGTCAATTCTATACAAGTAAACAATAGACTTTTAGAGGAGTTCATTATGTAAAAAAAGTCCATTTAATAAATGGACTTTTAAAAAAGTGCTCCCAAACAAGCATTAAATCTTTAATTAATTAGAAAACAGGTTGGGATACAAGGCGGGGCCTGTAGTGTTCTAGCAGAGAAGTCTAAAGTAGATCCATTGATCAAGATACTGTCATCTCACTGAGACTGAACAATGATACTGATATAGTAAGAAATAAATCCACAATATTCTCATCTGAAAGTTAAACTACTAAACAAAAGAAAAAACGCGAGAGATCATGGAACAATAAAAAACATAGAATATAGAACTAGAATAAAAACAGTTACTCGTAATTCTGAAGTCATGATGAAGATGTTGACTCGAGGTAATAGGAGTCGAGCTACTCATATTACAAATTTTCTTTCTTAAAAAAAAAGTTCACATTGACAAGAAAGATTAATGATTAGATTAAAACAACATCGTAAACGAATGATGTTCCATGGTAAACAATAGTCGTCAATAGCACTCAGCTGGCAATAGCTAATATTGGAGATAAGATTCCATGGTCGGCACCACACAGTGGAGTAGACGGAATCCCATCTTTAAGGCAAGATCAAGTTTCACCCCAATGCTGCTTATGTTCATTAGGCAACCTCAATGTCGCATGCACCCGAATTTGCGAAATACCTGTGCCCTAAAGTTTTCTACTGCCTGTAACTGCAGTATCTGTCAAATTAAAACAAGTCCGGTTGAATGAACAGAATAAAACCAAGGATGTGAATATTGTAGGGTTAAAAAAAAAAAAAAAAATCTGAGAATCACTAAAAGTTCCTCTCAGGATTTTGTTTTACTTGTTTCTCTCCATAAGTAAAATGGGTGCATTTTGAAAATCCCATGACACATCTAATTCAACAAATACAGTGTTTCTATACCTTTAAATTTTGCGTGTACGCTGATCCTATCCAAAATAATATAAGGTATCGACTCAAGAAATGTCTCATAGATTACAAAGTGACAAAACTCAAAATCTACCTAAGCACAATCTAAGTAAATTCAATAGCACAAATTTATTTCTTATATCAAAAGAAAATTAGTCTGATACCAATTGTAGAAAAATACTTGGGTTCATTTAGCTAAAAGGCCAAATGTATTCAAACCCTCTGAATTTTCACAGGTAACTATTCTACAACATGGTAAGAGGGTGTACATCTAAGTCTGCCCGACAAAGGAGTGCCCCCATAGTTCAGTGAATTAAACTATGTATAGAAATTAGCTATGTTCCAAGTTCTTGATATTTGTGTCTTATCGTTTTCTTGTAGTAGTGCAGCATAACCCAACCTTCAGGTAGCTTGTTTTTCCCAATTTTACTCATCTAAATCAAATATGAATACGACGGAGCTAATATCTAATCACACAACCCATAAATCCATGAGTAAAACCGAAAAGCCTATAATATCCCAATAACCATATAAAAAACACAATAAAGCCTCTAAAACAACACGCACAAACAAAAATTAAACGAATAGAAACAATACCTCTCCCAACAAACCCAAAAAGTCACCACTCACTCCTCCGACCCCTCATCCGTATCTGACAGGGGCAAAAGCGTACAAATCCCAAGCATGTGCCCGTTCAAACAAACATAATACTCGATGCAGTCCTCGTACGCCCCTAGCCGACAGCTGGCGCTCGAGGGAATCATTTTCGCCTCCAACATATTCCACAGCTTCGCCTTGCAGTACGGGCAAACCTCCGTAGGGTGCAGTGGAGCACACCTCTTTATCAGCATCTTCCTCACCTTCGAATTCGCAAATGACTTAAATATCCCTCTGAAAAACCCAACATCCCCTTCATCTCCCTGGTCCAGGTGCTCACAAGGGTCCGAAACATACAGAATATCCGACCTGCACTGAGGAAGCAAAAAACTCTTTCCGGAAGTTCGGGAAAAACGGGTTCGGTACACAAAGTGGCCCGGGATTTGAGATGTGCTGAAGAGCCCGTCTTTCTTGCAGCCAGAGCAGAAGATGAGGAGCTTGCCGAGGGCACGCCAGTTGCCTTCCACACTGTGGGACCCGCTCGACTGGAGGTCGAGGGTCATTTTGGGTGCCCGAGTCTTGCAGAATTCCTTCCAGAGGGCACGCTTTGCCAGGTCATCGAACCACTTGCACGTGCATGAGAGGGCAGCGATTACCTTGGGATTCCAGTTCAAGTGGTTGAAGACTAGGAATATGACCTCCTCTGTTAGGTGGCCTTTCGTGCACATGCAGCTCGGGGAGTGAAGACAGCGGTATTGTTTCGTGAGGATCATTTTTCTTTCTGCTTTTTCTTTTTGAATTGTTTGCCTGGTGATGGGAAGAGTGACGTGAATTGAGGAAATTCATGTTGAAAAAATGAAGGAGATTGAATATGATTTTGGATAGAGGTTATTATGAAGATTATAGTTGGGGGTTTTGATTTAATTTTTAGGGAAAATTAAAAAAACAGATTACTTAATGATCTACAGGCACCACATTGAGGTTATGTGTTTCGTACGTTTTTGCATCTTCTGTTAACGAAGCTAAGGGAAACCTGAAATCTTGCTTTTAATGTAGAAAAGTATAACTAATAACACATTTTTCATCTTGCATTTTACATAACTCTCTCTCAATTGTTGAGTATGACAAGCAGTTTGAGAAATCACATTGAGGTTATGTGTTTCGTACGTTTTTGCATCTTCTGTTAACGAAGCTAAGGGAAACCTGAAATCTTGCTTTTAATGTAGAAAAGTATAACTAATAACACATTTTTCATCTTGCATTTTACATAACTCTCTCTCAATTGTTGAGTATGACAAGCAGTTTGAGAAATGTTAAGGATATCTGCAGTATCCTAAAACAGTGGAAGGCGGAAATTATAAAATAATGGACGATGATAGAAAATCATACCAGGTTAACTAATATGATTGGGTGAAATGTGAGAGTATAAACTACAAGGGTGATTGTTTCTGTAAAATCATACCATGTTTAATATTTTGAAAGTTAACTGCTGTTTTGGTTTTGTTTTAAATGATCAAACCTAAGGTGTCGTTTTTGTAATTGTTTATAACAAAACCAAAAACGCATGCAAGCACAAAACAGGACTCTGATCGGCATCAGCACTAAGAAAGCAACAAGAGTGACATTCAAACGAGTCCCCACATATAATATTCTTTCATGAAAGTCCATTTGGTAATAAAAAATTAAGCCATTTAAAAGAAAAAAGGAAAAAAAAAAAAAAGAAGAAGATGATGATGATGATGAAAAGGGTCATGACGGAGAAAGTTTCTGGAACACAATAATCTTGAATGAACTTTTTAACTATCTGAACAAACTTTCAAATTCATTCTACATGCAATAGCAAAACAAACCTACATTGCTAGCAACGGACTCGCTAATCTGCAATCACAACTTCAAACTACTTTAGAACCAAAACCCAGTTAAAAATTTACAAAACCGATAGCAAGTATCATCCAGAAACATTTCTACGATTATAGAAATAAGCCCCAAATCAATCAAGCGAATACCAGTAACAAGGGAGAAATAACCAACAGAACTCCATTAGTCAAAAGTAAAGAACAAATAAACTGGATCGCACCAAACTTGAATCATAAACCCTAACCTCAGTCAATGGGCAGCCAACTTATAGCCTGACCTGGAGTTCGGCCGCATGAGAACAGAAAACTGTATAGTTTAGGGATTTCGAAAGATAGTCTTGAAGCAGCACAAAATTCAAACAAAAGCAGACGCCTGGGAAAGAAATTGCCGGAAATAAATCACCTATTTGGTAAAAATCACTTACTGCCCACACATGAAATTCTCAATCCAAAGCTGGGGAAATTTTGTCCTCTGCAATTTGCCAAGCAGATAATATACTTATATATCAAGTAGAATTGAAGAGAGCAGGGCTTTTGATTTAGTTGCTGCCTACAACAAGAAACTTTTAATTTCTTAAATGCAAATATCGGACTTATGATAAAGACATTAAGCTGTCATTTAATCTCTGAAACAAGAAGAATAGTTTGTGGATCAAGTGCGCCTAGTAGACACGCGTCATTTATTCATTGGTCTTTGATTGTTTTAGGCAACAACCATATATCACCACACCGCTATGTACCAGGTTCGGGCCAAATCCGCGGTTCCACATACGTTTGTAGCCCGAGTTCGGAATTTTTGTTCGGCTAAAAAGGATTCGCAATNAGAAACACAGAAAAACCAGAAAAACACAAACCCACAAAACACAATAAACATAGAATAAAGCCCTTCCACAACCAAACTAACGCACCAAACAACCCTCAACGGCAACACCACGATTTACCACTAAACAGACAGGACCACAATCCAAGTTTCAACACCAGAAACTACAGCACCCGGCCTAACTAGAGCCAAAACTCTAGATCCCAACCCGCGCCCTGGCGGCCGACCACAACCCTTCAACCGGAGGTCAGTCAAACAGCCCCACCCCGCGCCACACCACCACCATCCCGACCCCAGCCACACCACGGCCAGGCCCGGCGCGTCGGTCGTCCCTTCCTCCGTAACACCAGGGGAAAAAAGAACAAAGTTGAAGTAACCCACCGACCTCCGCCCGCACCACCAACTCGGTAATCAGAGCCACAACCCGCCTCCACCTGGACGCCATGGAAACTAACGACTTTCGTCCTAAGATGGCAGCCCTTAAAAGCCGAAGACCACTAAAAAACACCGACTAGCTCCACCGCGCGAGAAGATGGGCCTCGGCACTTAATCGAAGCCGAGTCGAGTAGCCAGGAACCGGCCACCATCGAAGGGCCCGGCGGCCCCATCGGGGAAGGCAACCAGAGAAAATTAGTTTAGTCGAGGAGAATTTGGGGAAACGAAGAAACAAAGGTAGTGAGAGAAAATGTATTTTTGCCTGATGTAATTTTGTTTCTTGATTTCTGATGGGTCTACTTCCAGATCTGGAGTAAACCGGTGGATGTGAACTTAGATCTGCTTGAGCCGCCTCCGAATCGTTGCTAGACCGCGAGATACCTGCAAAAACTCAACGCCAGAGGTATTTCCGGCGTAGAGCCTCCGACGCTCAAGTCAGTATGAGAGTGATGAAGAGATACTGCGCAACAGCTATGGGGGAGAGTGGGAATGAATGAGAGTTAGGGTTTGGGGTTACCTCACCTCCTTTATATAGGAGTGAATACTTACTTGAAGTACCCAGAATGCCCCAGTCGGTGGGCCTAAAAGGTCCAAAATGTCCCGGTCGGTTCGTCGCCCCTTGCTGCTGAGTCACCACAAGGTTCCTTCTTATCCTTTGGAATATGTAGAGCTTTAAGTATGTTGCAAGTGTGATGAGTCGTCATCACATCTTTGATCTTCGAGATGCAGAGTCGACCTCGACAGCTAGGAGGTCGACTTGTGATCATATGAGGATTCGGAGGCTACGCTTGGTTAGTTCCCTAGAGTGGAAGTCGTCTTCAGAGAATCGTCTTAGTGAAGTCGACTACTGGGAGTCGACTTAGAGTATCTGGATGCCGATGTGAAGTCAACCGCCGACTCCTCGAATTCCGTGCTTCATCAGGATCGTTGGTTTTCTCGATGATCCAATGGTCCGCATCCATCACTATCACATATAAATATATCTCAATTCCTCAGGAAACCACTTTTCGCACTCCTAAACTTCTCGTTCTCTCTCAACTTTCTTCAAGCTTTCTGGCGACCTGCGAGTTTCAGCTTCACCGGCGATATCCGTTTCCGGCGACCTCCAACTTCTTCCGAATTCAATCCGGCTACCATATGTAAGTTTACTATTCTCTCTTATTTCTTAACTTTCTGTCGATTTTTTCCTTCTTTAATTTTTCTGGCCTTTTCGAACTTGAAGTTCATGTGAGTTCTTCGTGTTCTTCGGAGATTTTTTATGGATTTCACGTTGGATCTTTTTACGCGCATACTCTGTTAGGATTTATTGTTTTTACCAGTCTTCGGCTGCCGATGTGCAGTCAATTTTCATCTGTCGCTGAGTCGGCTCCTGTCGACTTAGTGGTCTTCTCTCCTCAGTTTTACCTTTTCGAGTCGACTAAGATCGACTTACTGATTTATTTAAGTCGAGCTATCGATAGCGATTGCCCCTTCTTTGTCCTTTTATCCTCTATCGATTCTTGCGAGTCGACCTGATTCGTTCTTGTAGGCCTTAACTCGTGACTTTACTAACTTCGACCTTCTCCTTCTTTTTCTTTCCTTAGCTTCCGACTCGTCTCCTCTCTCTGGCTCCCTTGGTCAGCAGATCAATGACTATACTCATCAAGCCGACGAGGGTTCTAGTTCTGACCTGTCGAGGTGACCGGCTATAAGATGACTTTTGTGCCTCCCCATTCTTCTTCCCCTCGTGCTTCAGTTTCCTGATCGACTGGGACGAATATGACCAAGCTCTTTTGGTGGGTGGTTCAGTTGACGTTGTGGAGAGCCCTTCTCCAAGAGAGTCTCCTCGTCTCGACCTTATCCCTCGAGGTATTCCTCTTAGGTTATTAGGCATCCCTGTTTATAGAACAAGCTCTGTATCTGTACCAATAGTTGTTCCTCTTCTCGATTCTCAAAATACTGTATCAATAGCTTGTCCTTTGGCTAGGTTAGCTATTTTAAATCCTTTTTGTTATGCCTCTGCAGCCGAGGTCGAGGGCTTCAGGAAATTTAGTGGGCTTCCTTCCGACTGGGAGTTGGTCGCCCCAGGTCCTAATGACGATTTTGCCCATCCTCTTCCCGGCTGTCATACGTTTTTTATAGATCAAGTCATCTTCGGTCTCCGCTTTCCTATTCAAGACGAGCTTTTGTTGATAAGTAACTTGTATAATGTCCCAATAAATCAATTTTCTCCAAACGCTATCCGCATCATGATAGCCTTCATAGTCGTCTCCCGAATAGTACTCAAGTTTTTCTCGCCCGAGTTTTTCTTTTATTGTTATGGCTATCGACTTTTCAAAGGTGCCCATTGCCTGGGCCGCCGTGCCGGTGTGACTTTTCTCACTGACCTTTCCTCCAATGTTACGGAATGGAAATCGAAGTACGTCTTTATTCGACCCGCAGCCGGTATATATCCTTACGTTAATAAATGGATAACCTCGAAAGTGAAACAGAATAAACGGCCTCGTTCTGACGAGTTTGCCACTCTTTTAACGGAACTCAATAAACATACATATAGTGCCCGTCAGTTAATAAAGGACCGTGAATTGGTCAATCATGCCCGAATCGTCATTTACGAGGATATTCCTCGTCTCGATGACCCTTGTAAGCTACTAATGTCCCTCGTGCAACTGATTGTAAATTTTGATTAGTCACATCATGACTATCAATTGTTGTTCGTATACTAACTTTTGCTCTGTTACTATTTAAGTTAAAACATCTCAAATGCTTCGAGCTCAAAAAGGGCCAGCCGGCTGGTGGTTCTGTTCCTCCCCCTTGATCCTCAGGCAGCTCCAGGTCGAGGCCCACTGCTGCAGCTGCCGAGACGACAATTGCTAAGAAGTCTAGGGTTAAGAACCCCAGCGCCTCCCATCCTAAATCGTCGGGCCCCGCTTCTCGCAAGAGGGCCCAAGACGATCGGGCCGCCATCCTCATTCCTGACGACTTGAAGCGTCGCAAGGTCGACAAAGGAAAGGGAAAGGCAGTCGAGAAGAAAGCCCCCTCTCCCATCATCGTCAAAGACGTGACGGTCAAGATGCCCTCTCGGCTCTGGAATCATCCGGAGCCGTACCAAGTGGCTAAGTACTTCAACTCCCTCATCCCTGAGGACGACAAGGAGCGCGTCGATGGGAACCTGTACGAGCGCTCCAACTACGTCGTTCAGTGTCTCTCCCGGGTATTTTTTCTATCCTCCAATCGACTTGGTTTTTGTATTTTTCTTTAAACTTTATTCATCTTTTTCTCATCTGTCTCCAATGTTTTCTGCAGTTTCTGGCCGCGGCGCTCCCCTGCTTTGAGGAGATGAGTAGGGCTCCTTTCGCCTATACCAAGTCCCTCGAGGACAAGTGTGAGGCTCAGCGTCAGGAAATCGAGACGCTGAGAGAGGATTTGGAGGCCCCGAAGGCCCTTGTCAACAAGCTAAAGGCCGACAAGGCTGTGTTCCGGCACCTGAGTGATAAGCTCAAGGTCGACCTCGACAAGGCTCGCGACGAGATCATGGTCGAGAGGGAGAGCGGCGTCGAAGAAGGACGCCGGACGTTTTTTAAGTCCCCGATGGGCGCCGTCTTCCTTGAGACCTATCGCCAGGAGGTCGTCAAGGCTTTTTGCAACTCCCCTGCCTTCCTCGACAAGCTCTGCGCCGGCACCCTTCAGTACTTCGAGCATACATTTGCCGCATGGGAGGCGGTGGTGTCGGGGTCTGAATTCGAGGGGAAGCTCGACCGTGAGGCGGTTAAGCAGACGCTTCTGGACCCTGAGGGCTATGAGGGCGACGACTCCCTCCCCGACGACTACCCATGGTGGACGGGACTCGAGGCTTGGGCCATTCGCAAGGCTGGCTTGAGTGCACAACTCGAGGTTCCTCCTACCCCCTTGTCCGGTCCGATCGAATTAATCGGGGCAAATGGGGTTAGTCGCGAGGAGGAGGTTGAGGCGGGGATGTCGAGCAGCAGGGTGCCGATTCGCTTGTCGACAAGGATGCTAATGCGGAGAAGACTGCCACGATTGTGGAGGATGGAGATGACGTTGCTGAGAAGTCGGATGCCGAATCTTAGCAGCGTTGTCTATTCTGGGGCTGTGCCGTTGTTTTTGTTTTCTTTTTGTTTGCAGTTTTTGTGTTTCTCGTCTCGGCCCATTTTCAGGATTTGTAAGGGCCGAGACGATTCGGAATGTAATGAATCTTCGTATCAATATAATTCTTCTCTTTTCCCTTCATTGTTTGTGTTACTTGTATTTCAAATTATCTTGCTGCTATTTTCCGTATATCTTCTCCTCGACCCTTCTTGCGAGCTGGTCGAATTCAAGCAACAATTTGAACAGCTGCATAGCTATGAAACGTAAGTTTTTCAACTCATCTCCTCCCCAACCCGTCTTGCGAGCTGGTCGAAGTCGAGCAATAATTTGAACAACTTCATAGCTGTGAAACGTAAGTTTTTCGACTCGTCTCCTCCCCAACCCGTCTTGCGAGCTGGTCGAAGTCGATAAATAATTTGAACAGCT